CAGGACGCCGGGAAGGCGCCGGGCGGCACCGAGCGCAGCCCGCGAGTGCGCGTGCGCGGCTCGAGCGCCAGGCCGAAGCAATCGACAGCCCAGCGCCGGCTTCTGAGCTCCCCAGCTGGGAAGGAGGCACCGCCCATTCAGGGAAGGGAACCAGGGTTAGAGCGTATCGATTGCCAGAATCTGATAGTTGTGTGGGAAAATGTTCCTTGGAAAGACTGAAGTTATTTGGGAATGACAGAATAGCATTGCAGTGTATTACTCTCGAATTTTGCTCAGGAAATGTATTTTTGTTCCATACTCCACGCTTTCCTATAATTTTGCCTTGTGATTCAAAATTGTAAAAAACAAAACAAAACAAAAACGCCGTAGATTTACTTTAATTCCAGAAAGCGCCTGTAGGTGGAGCCCCTGAGTCAGAGACCCGGTTTTACTTAGCCCTTTTGCTGAGTTACAGACTCAGGCCTATAATCCACTGTGGTTCAAGGCCAGCCCAGTCATAAAAGTTCAAGAGACTGAACCGAGGGTGGTGGGTGCCTGGCATCCCCAATCCCCATCCTTGGGCATAAAGCAAGACCCTGCCTAGAAAATAACATATGCAAAAGGAGGCTAGGGGAGTAGTAAGTGATGAATCTCTTTCACAGGAAGTATGAGGCCCTGCTCCCCCCTCCCCCAATATATCAGAGAGAAGCCAGGCATGATGGTACACAGCTTTAATCCCATCAGTGGGAGGCTGTGACAGAGGGGTGAGTAGGAGGCGGACTTGGGCTATTTCTCAAGACCTGGTTTTTATTTGTTTTTAATTTAATTTTTTTTTTGGGGGGGCTGTCATGGGGCCTGAACTCTGGGCCTGGGTGCTGTCCCTCAGCTCTTCAGCTCAAGGCTAACGCTCTACGACTTGAGCCACAGCCTCACTTCCAGCTTTTTTCTTTTTGCTTATGTGGTGCTGAGGAATTGAACCCAGGGCCTCAGGCATGCAAGGCAAGCGCTCTACCACTGAGCCACCTTCCCAACCCCGTTGTGCAATTCTTTCTTGCAGGCTGTTCTGTGTATATTTGGTTTCTTTTTCCTTCCTTCCTTTCCTTCCTTCCTTCCTTCCTTCCTTCCTTCCTTCCTTCCTTCCTTCCTTCCTTCCTTTCTTTCTTTTTTCTTTCTTTCGTCAGTTGTGGAGCCTGAACTCTGGGCCTGGGCACTATCCCTCAGCTCTTTAGCTGCCAACTAGTACTCTACCACTTGAGCCTCAGCCCCACTTCTGGCTTTTTCTGCTTATGTGGTGCTGAGGAATCAAACAGAGGGCCTCATGCATGCAAGGCAAGCGCTCTACCACTGAACCACCTTCCCAGCTCCTCTGTGTATACGCGGATGGTTAGCAGTTTCCCTGGCCTCTACTCACTAGAGGCAAACACATCCTCCAGATATCAGAAATGCCTCCAGACATTGCCAGAGTCCTCGGGGAAGGCAAGAGCCACTCCTAGCTGGGAATGAGGTTTTTGTTTTTATTTTTTGATCAGTCGTGGGGCTGAACTCAGGGCCTGGGCACTGTCCCTGAGCTTTTTCACAAGGGTAGTGCTCTACCACTTTGAGCCACAACACCACTTCTGGTTTTCAATGGTCAATTGGAGATAAGAGTCTCATGGACTTTCCTGCCCTGGCTGGCTTCAAACCACAGCCTCCTGAGTAGCTAGGATTACAGGCGTGAGCCACCAGCGACTGGCTAGAGTGGTTTTTTGGTTTGTTTTTTACAAGATGTTCTCTGCCCTGGGATTTTAGTGCCTGGAGACATCATGGAAAGGCTAAGAGTCATCTGGCCGGCCATCAGTAAGGCTGGCCCAAAGTAATGGTGGGGATTTGGAGGGTGGTGCTGAACCCAAGGACCTCTGCTATTCTGTATAGGTAAGCAACAGACCTAGGGAGGTTTGGGATTTGCAGAAGGAAAGCAGCAATAAGGCCAAGGCTGTGACTCCCTTTTCCCTCACAGCCTAGTTGCCTCCTATCTGGCTGGGAAGAAACTTCAGAATAGCCATGATTATGTTACTATTACTTCTGCCTTCACGTGTGTGTGCATGCACACATGTACACACATGTGTGGCATGCTTATACTGGGGTCTTGAACTCAAGGACTGGGTGCAGTCCCTTAGCTTTTTGCTCAAGGCTGGTGCTCTACCACTTGAGCCACAGCTCCATTTCTGGCTTTTTTGCTAGTTAACTGGACATAAGAGTCTCTCAGATTTGTTTGGCTAGGCTGGCTTTGAACCATGATCTTCAAATCTCAGCCTCCTGAGTAGTCAGGATTATAAATGTGAACCACTAGCACCCAGCCTCTTATGAAAATGTTTTTCCTTGGGAACCTGGAAGGGGGGAGAGTGAAAGGGATGGATATGATCAAAATCCTTTATACATACATATGAAACAATATGGGGTGAAACCCTTTGAAATTATTGTTAAATTACTATTGTTATTGTTATTATTAGTGTGTGTGTGTGTGTGTGTGTGTGTGTGTGTGTGTGTGTATGCTGGTTCTGAAGATTGAACGCAGGGCCTGAGTGCTGTCCCTGAGCTTTTTTTTTTTTGGCACAAGGCTAGCTCTCTACTACTTGAGCAACATCTCCACTACAGGCTTTTTAATGGGTTAATTTCAGATTAAGAGTCTCATGGGCCTGAATTCACAGATCTCAGCCTCCTGAGTAGTTAGGATTAAAGATATGAGCCACCAGCACCTGGCTTCCGTAAATGAAGAAAAGGAAAATAAAAAAAATTTCAAAAGCAAACATTTTTCAATTTCTAGATGTCCATTATGCTTAGTTGATGCAGAAAGCTGTCTCCTGTTAATGTCAGTGTTTTAAATCATGTGACCTGCTGAGTATTTTCCTGCCTTTATTTCTGCAAATTCTGTCTCCCCCAAAGCAAAGAGTGCCTAGAAAGCAAGGTGAAAATTACAGGAGGCTTCCCCCACCCCCAAGTAAAGAGCCTGTAATGCTTCATTTAATTGATAAAGTGCAAATTTGGGATTTGGTGGAAGGAGGCGTGTCTTGAGCAGATGTCCAGTGGTGTTGTGGGGAAATGGATCAAGCATCTGTGACACAGTACCCAACTCTGCAAATTGAGCATGCGCAGGCTTTCCTCAATGATGATCTCACCCGGGGTCTCCCGTGTCTGCAGCCCCAGGATTCTGACACATCCAGGCTCCTGAGTTCACAGAAAAGCCACATGGCGTGTCAGCCATGAGTGCAGGAACTGCGGGCAAACTGTCGCTTCGTGAAATGGTTTGGCCCTGCATCCGGGGACTTTCAGCCTTTCCACCCAATTGGGCTTTGGTACTTATAAAGGGGTCTCTTTGCCAAAGGTCATCCTATGGCTGGAACTCTGGGGTCCTCCACCCTTTTTATTAGAACCACCTCTGCTAAAGCTGGGAGCCCCCCATGTGAGGACATTAAGTACACCCCCAAACCACAAAGCCATGTACATAGGATACACTGACCAGGCCCCCGAGTTTAACCTATTTTTGCCTTGGTAAGAATTACAGGTTCCTCTGCTATAGGAAGTTAAAGGCTTTTATTAATTTAGGATTAACATAGAATTTGTGTCTCTGATTCCTTTTGTTTGGGGCGGGGGGGGGGGTTGTCGTGGGTTCAACAGACCGCAGCCGGCTTCGCTGCCAGCTCATAGGCGACAACGACGAAGATGATGACGAGGAGGCTAATACGTTGTCGTCAAAGAAGAAAGCGGGACAACACAACATCGAGAAACGAGGTCGCAAAGATTTAAGGCAAATGTTATTCCCATATTTGAGGTGGGGGTGGGGATCAAGCAGATCTGTGCATTTCAATGAAAATATATGAGATATTTGTCAGTAAAAATTAGAACATGTAGCTTATAAAATGCCTACACAGGTTTGGCAGAAATCGATCTTGCTGTGTCGTCGTCGGCTTCTCGCTATACGCAGACACAGGAGCGTCCAGCTGGAGTTCGAATCTCCTGAGCATGGAGCCAGGTGAACTCGCAGATGCATTCCATTCGCTGCACAGGGAGGCGTGACCTAGCGCTGCCTAGGCTGGTTTTCTGTTTCGTTGAGAGGGCGTTGCTTGGCCGGTCATCCGGGGAATCTTCCGACTGGCCTCCCGGGGACTCTCCTCAGAAGCTTGTGAATCAGGTAGAGGTGGTTATCCAGGCCTGAGACACCGGGAAAACCCAGTCTGCACCGTGAGAAGGATCGTACCCAGAGAGGCCCCAACGCTGCATCCAGTGTTGGCCTGGCACCTTCTTGGCCACAGAGGAGCTGACTCTGCAGAAATGGGTTCCAGCCCCAGTGGTCATCTGACTTCTGCCCTGAAGCCCATTTCGTTGAACTGTCCCATCCAAGCGTCCTCTGGGCCGCCCGAGAGCAAGCGATGCCCAGGGGAGGTGGTGGAGCGGTCACCACGCTCACCCCAGGGTGCCTGGGTGCCCCCCCCCGTCCCGCTGGCCGGACCGCTGGCACAGCATCGTTCCTTCCGCTTTGGTCTTGAAGATTCAGTAAACTTAGGGTCCTAGAAGCTGTTCCAAAGCTGTGGATTCTTGGATTTCATGTTTGTTCCTTTGTTGGAAAGTTTTGCCAGAGCCTGGAAACCCCATGTCCCGAACCACCAGCCACTTGGTTGTCCCCCCCGGGGATGTGTGGGAGTGCCCGGCTCGTGGGGAGATAAAGCTGTCAGGTGCAGGGGATCGCCCCTGGAACAAGATTCTGGCCGACAGTCTAGAGGACGGTGGACGGATGGGTAGGTGACCGGCAGCCGGCGGCACCCCTACCCCGCCAGGAGGCAGGTGCGGCAGCAGAACTGGATGAAGAGCTTCCGCTCGCAGAGCCGGTTGGACTTCACCATCTCGCAGAAGGTCTCATCAGCTGGGGCCCCGAGACCGGAAAAGCAGAGGAGGGAGAAGTCAGACTCAGGGGGAGGGGTGTGTGTGAATACTGCACCCCACTTTGCAGGCACCAATCATGTGCCCGGCCAGGGGCACACAGAGCCTGTAACCGTGCTTCACCAGGTGACCCCTGGTGTGTGACCCAACTCTTGACCAGATGGGGGTGGGGGAGGCAGGGGGAGTGGACGGATCTAAGAGGCTGCCCAGGATAGACCCATAGGCCCTCAATGGCAGTGTGGAGCAGGCTTTCTGGACAACTAGCAGGAGAATCTGGAGGAAGGAGTATGGGCTGGAGGGGGCAGGGCACAGGCAGCTGCTATGGTCCAGGGGCAGCTGAGTAAAGACGAGAAGGGTAGGAGGAAGAAACATGTCTGTTAGGCTTTGCAAACTGGACAGGCGGCTCCCCGTGGGCTCCACACTCTGCCAGGGCAGTGCCAACTTCATGCCCAGGCACCATCACCCAGCCCTGGGCACTGAGGATTGGGGTCCCATCTCCTGCACACCAGACCTGCCTGGAGCTGGGGGCAGGGGCGGGGCAGGGGCGGGGCCTCACCGTTGCTGCAGGTGTGATTGGTGATGCACGAGCTCCCCAGCTGGGTGAAGCCCGCCTTACACCGGATGCAGTTCCTGCTGGAATCCTTGCAGCTGGCGCAGTTCTCCTCACACCTGTGGGAAGAAGCCAGCTCCGCCCAGCCGTCCACTGTGCTCTCCTCCCATGCTCGCCCCTCCCTGCGCCGGCTCCCTTGCCCCTCCCTCCCCCCCACCTTGGCTTTGGTTCACTGTAGACAGGCTGCGATGCTCTGAAGCATAGGGTTCTGAATGGGGTGCCCTGCTTCCTGTCGGATCTCACGGGTACCCTGGGATCTTGCAGACAGCCTGTTGGGGGAGACCTGTCCCAGATGTGCATTCAGGGTACCAGCTAAGAAGAAGGCGTGGCTTAGAGGCTAGTCCCTCCTGAACACCTGGGAGAGAGGGCATGTCTAGGGGACAGTGGAAAGCATGTCTACTTGAGGCCAGGAATTCGAGTTCTCTCTCCTTCCACAACATCTTCACTCCCTCTGGAAGATCGCTGTACTCCCGCATTTTTGTGTGCTGGTCCTAGGGCTTCAACGCAGAGCCTAGATACTGTCTTCTAGCCTTTATTTATTTATTTTTTGTTTCCTCAAGGCTAACTATCACTTGAACCACACCTCCACTTCTGGCTTTTTGATGGTTAATTGGAGATACGAATCTCTTAGACTTTCCTGCCTAGGCTGACTTTCAACAGTGATTGGATTACAGGCGTGAGCCACGGCACCCAGCCATATTCTTTTTTGAGGAGCCATCCTACCCGGCCCATTGGCCACCTCCCCGCCGCACACAGCACACTCCCTGGAAGCCCGTACCTTTGGCACACTCTGTGGGGCACGCCGGGAGTCTCCTCCGCATAGAAGCCCTCGCCACAGTCGGGCACACACTTCCAGTCTTGGAAGTATAAGTTTTGGGCACAGTGGATGCATTCGTCTCTGCTGGGCCCTGAGAGGTACAGGACAAGGTGTCAGGGCCTGCCTGCTGGGCGTGGGCCATCCCTGGGCTTCACACTTTGCCCTGAGATCTACCGCTCTAGGAGGGTCTCCCCAGGTACCCACACGGTTCTGTGCTCACCGATTCCTGGAAGGTGGGTGTCATCACCCCCATTTTACAGACAGGGACATCAGAAGAATGAGCCAGTGCGGAGAGTAAAACCTGTATCCAGTGGATTTCCAAGAGATTTTTTTTCTTCCTTTGGGCTGGTACTGGGGCTTGAACTTAAGACTCTGAGCACTGTCCCTTCACTTTTTTAGCTTAAGGATGGTGTTCTATGACCTGAGCCACAGTTCCACGTCTGGCTTTTTCACTAAAATTGCATAAAAGTTTCTCCTGAACTTTTCTTTCTGGGCTGACTTTGAACCATGAACCTCAGATCTCAGCCTCTTGAATAGCTAGGATTACAGATGTGAGCCACTAAATAAGGTGTGTTACTAAAGTGTTTTCTGCCTGTGGGGCACGCCTGAATAAGTAACCTAGAAGACAGAGGTTCAAAGTCAGCCCAGGTAGAAAAGTCTGTGAGATTCTGTCTCCAGTTAGCAAGCTGGACTGGAAGCATGGTTCAAATGGTAGAACGCCAGCTGTGAGCAAAGAAACTGAGTGAGAGCTGGGAGTTCAAGCCTTGCTACCTGCAGAAAAATAAATGCAAATAAAAAGAAGCACGCATTCTCTGATCAAACTATTTTCACAAGCACTAAAAACTCAGAATGTTATCACTCGAAGTCTCTCAAGGATCCCAGGAAGTTACCAGCTTTGCACACCGGTAACTGAAGGGCTCAGGATCATAATAGGAACAGTGAGATGGGTTATGCTGATGGCATGAAAGACAAGATAAACGGCTAGGAAAAGAGGCATGGCTTCCACAGGTGACCTCTGGTCAGTTCCAGCCACCACTTGATGCTGGCCCTAGGCCCAGCCTGGATATCCCTAGACAGAGCTGACTGCTATGGGGAGCTCACGGGGTCATCCAGGGTGGGGGTGGGGAGGGATGTTGCCTGTCTTGTGGCATTTGTGACAAAGGGCCTCTGTGATTTAGCAGAGACTTGACTTAAATGATCACTACTGTAAAAACTGAACCTGACATGTCTTAGACTGCAAAAGAATGCCAAGGGCCAGTGGCACCTGTAATCCTAGCTACTCAGGAGGCTGAGGTCTGAGGATCAAGTTTTAAGGCAGCCCTGATAGATGGATCCAAGAGACTCATACATCCAATTAAATAGTTGGAAGTGGAGGTATGGTTCAAATGGTACAGCATCAGCTTTGAGGAAAAGAGTTAAGCAAGAGCATAAGGCTCTGCGTTCAAAATATAATAAATAAAAAGCACCAGAATGTCAGAATGCTGGGACAAGGAGAAGGATGGAAAAGAGGAAACTTCCCCAGAACTATGTCTGAGCCTACATAGCCACGGCATGCCTTGATTTACTTGCTCAGAACACTGCCGAATGAAAGCCAATAAAACGAGTGAAATCGCTGCTATATTCTGCATTAAAAAAATGCCTGGAGACATCTCTGCTATAATCTTCGTAGGAAATTGTAATACATGTAAAATTGTTTATAGCAGGTCGTTTCCTCTTTTTATAAAATGTTTGGAGTAAATAGGGATGTGTATAAAGAACTAAAGTTCTGGTTTTAAAACATCTGCATCCTTTTCTCTCCCAGGGGCCCAGGAATCTTTATGGTGCTGTGTTTTAGTGTAATTTCTGCAGCAAGACAAGACGGCTCACGAACACTTAAGCATCTTTTATTTCTTGCCTGAAAGCATTCATAGCCTGGCCGGTTTCTTTTTTCTTTCCTCCTCCTCTTCCTCCTCTTCCTCCTCCTCCTCTCCCTCTCCCTCCACCCTCCCAACTGTTTTGAACTCAGGATCTAGGCACTGTCCTTGAGCTTTTTTGCTCAAGGCTAGAGCTCTACCAATTTGAGCCACAGTCCACTTTCTGCTTTTTGGAGGTTAATTGGAGATAAAAGTCTCATGGACTTTGCTGCCTAGGCTGGCTTTGACCTGTAATTCTCAGATCTCAGCCTCGAGTAGGTAGGATTACAGATGTGAGCCACCAGCGCCTGGCTTTTTCTTTTCTTTTCTTTTTTGTTTGTTGTGAGGCTTGAACTCAGGGCTTAGGTGCTATCCCTGGGCCCTTTTGCTCAAGGCTAGTGTTCTATCACTTTGAGCCACAGCTCCACTTCAAGTTTTAGAGTGGTTAATTGGAGATAAGTCTCACAGGGACTTTTCTGCTCCAGCTGGCTTTGAACCATGATCCTAGATCTCAGCCTCCTGAGAAGCTAGGATTATAGGCGTGAGCTACTCAGTACCCAGCTTGCCTTTGTGTTTTTATAATCTTTTTTGTTGGTTGTTTGCAGTAGATGGCCTTGTGTCTGCCAGACAAACACTTTACCTTTGAGCTACATCTTTAATCCTTTGCTTTTGTGTTTCAATGCTGCAATCAGTGCAGAAACCTAAGAGGTTCTAGAACTTTCTCAGCTGATTTTTTTTCCCCAGGATGGCTAGCCTATCCACCTTTGTAACCTTGGTTACAATGATCCCATGAAAGCAAGGCTTTGGCAGGTGAGCCACTCACCCACGCAGGTTCGGCAGGTCTGATGGCACGGCCCACATCGGATCAGCTCCGAGTCGAAGTAGGTTCCGGGTTCACAGTTTGGAATGCAGCTACCCCGGGCAAGGCTTTGGGGAGGGGAAAAAAAAAAAGAGTCCAGTTTCCACATGTGTTCCCAAGTCATAATTAACTTATGCCTTTGACAAGAGGAAATGCAAGTTGTCAAAGCATCGTGCTTTGTGTCACGAAGGTTCCCAGCTAACGGCAGCTGGCAAGGCCATCCTGGGCCAGCTGGAGGCCCTCTGGCTGGTGCTTGGGTTCTTTCCTGTTCTGGAAAGAGCAGGAAAGCTTCTCTCATGACTTCTCATCTCCAAATCTGAATACCCCAAAGGAGAACTGGAGCACGTGGGGGCTTTAGGCCGGTGACATGCTTGCTCTGTCTCCCGTGGCCCAAGTCCACCTTTCAAGCTGACCTGCAGCCCTAGATCTGTTCCTGCTTCTCCCTTGCTTGAACAAAGATCCCTGTGCCCGGCCTGGGACCTGGCAGCTACTTTATGGGGCTCTGGCTTCCTCTCCCGCCCGCTCAGTGCCTGTGCCCTGTCTCCCGCTTAGCCAGACATCCCAGGGACACAGCTGAGCTGGACCACCCACGCCAGGCCTGCTCCACTGTTCCACGCTCATGCAACCCCAGGCAGACCAGCAAACCCCTCTGCAACCTCTCCATTTCCTCTCCGTAATTGGTTCCTGCAGCAGCCCCCAGCTCTCTAAACCCTGGTGTCTGGCACCTGGTACTGCACACAGAGAGCCCACTACGGCTTCTTTAGATCCTGTTTCTGAGGCACACATTGTAAACAGGTTCACTCCGCAACATAATGAACAATGAACGCGCACTGGTGCATCTGTCAAGAGGCCCCGAGACTCCAGCTGTGATGTTATGACTTACAATTAGGAATGTATACTTGGTCTTTATCCTAGCTCCTAAAAAATTCCTCGCAATCAATAAAGTGAGAATTGTCATTCTGCATGTTAATGAGATGGCTGGTGGCTGGAAGACTCCTCTATAGCTCCAGTTGGGTCATGTTGAGCTGCCCATATGATAAGAGGGTAATTTTCAGTCCCACCCCTCCAATCATGGAAGACAGAAGATAGACATGGCCATCAATGGCCAAAGAAAAACCTCAAGGCTTAGGCGCTAGCGGCTCACATCTGTCACGCTAACTACTCAGGAGGCTGAGATCTGAGGATCAAGGTTTGAAACCAGCCCAGTCAGATAAATCTCTGAGACTTTATCTCCAATTAACCATCCCAAAAGCTAGACTGGAGGTATAGTTCCAGTGGTAGAGTGTCAGTGGTGAGCAACAAAGCCAAGTTGAGAATGTGAGGTTCTGTGTTCAAGTCCTGATACCAGCCCCAAAAACACACTAGAAAAAATCTCAGGCTTCCCTATCAATTCTAAAGGATAGAATCTGGAGCGCTTCCAGGTTGGTGAATGGTGGAAACCCCTTCCCCCCCACAGCTCCAGTTTTTGACTTGTCTCATATATCTCTTCATCTGTCTGTTCTTTTCTTTCCTTTATTGCATCCTTTGTAATAAGCTGGTAGCTGAATGCCACGTGTTTCCCTCCGTCTGGAAATAGTTCTAGAAACTGGAGACGGCTGAGCTTTGACATCCGTCAGCTGGTCAGAGGCCAGCTCATAACCCGGGTTTTGTGACTGGCATGTGTAGTGGGTCCTCAGCCTGGGCAAGCCCATGCTGCCTGCAAGTTGACAGTGTTTGAACTGAGTCAGAAATTAAGTGACAGGTTACACAGCCGAGTCCACTGGGAAACTACTCTGTGTGTGTGTGTGTGTGTGTCTGTACGTGCACATGCACGCATGCACTGGGGCTTGAAGTCAGGGCCTGAGTGCTGTCCTTTTTGGTTTTTTTGTTTGCTCCAGGCTGATAGTTCTTATCACGTGAGCCACAGCTCTACTTTGCGTCTCATGGACTTTCTTGCCTGGACTGGCTTTGAACTTGTGATCTTCAGATCGCTGGCTCTTGAGTAGCTAGAACACTCAGGTTGTATTCTCTCCTTACCCCTGCACCGAGAGGGGGTATGTGCACATGCACGAGCCTCTCTTCCTCATCAAGATACCCCAGCCTTTGTGCAGGACAGTCATACGGCATGCTAAACCATGGATGCACCCAGCGAGCCCTTCTGCAGGTATTTATCCTCTCTGAAGAGATGAACAGCGGGAAGGCAGCTCTCTTACTGCTTGAACGTAACCGTGATGATTTGAAGTCATAGCTGAAGAAGATATTGAGCAATAAAAGGGAGCTTTCTGTGGACTATGGCGGGCCCTGTTTGCTGAGTCTTGCGTGCTTATCTGGAAGCGGGTCCTCCTGTGGCCACGAACGGCTCTGTGCGGCTATTGACCAGGAGATACTTGATCCCCAAGATGCCTTTCGGAACCCCAGTGTATGACTTCCCCTCCCCCACAGCAGCTGATAGGGCCTCCAGAGAGCTCCCACCTGTGATACCTTAAGTTTGCAGCGCAGGGCGCTGGGGACCTGCGGCAGGAGGCCCTGGTCAGCCGCCTGCCACAGCAAAGCCAGCGGGCAGCAGGTCCCAGCCCACAGCCACCAGCGGGGCGTCCTGCTTCCCCTTCAGCTTTTTCTCTTTGGGGGAGTTCCTTCGTGAGCCAGTCCTTCCTTTTGCTTCTAATGACAATGGGAGGGTGACATGACACTGGGGGGGGTCTTTTTTTTTTTTTGTCGGTCGTGGGGCTTGAACTCTGGGCCTGGGCGTTGTCCCTCAGCTCTTCAGCTCAAGCCAGCGCTCTACCACTTGAGCTACAGCGCCACTTCCGGTTTTCTGGTGGTTAATGGAAAAAAGAGTCTCACAGTCTCTCCTGCCCGGGCTGGCTTTGAACCACGATCCTCAGATCTCAGCCTCCTGAGTAGCTAGGATGACAGGCGTGAGCCACCAGCGCCCGGCTGGGGGGGGTCTTTTATACTTCCCTTCCCAACCCAGGGCTCTGGGGAAAGGGGAAGGTAATCACCCCCTCCCTCCCCCCTCCCTGCAGGCAGGAACGCAGGGCCTCCTGGGAAAAATGGCTGCTCTCCCAGTGTGTAACAGTACAGGTTACTATGTAAATGGTGCCATTTGATATGCTCAAAAGCTACACAATCAACTATAACTTTACTAATTCTCCAAATCCTGCATAAAATGCAGACTCGCCCCCCCCCCAGCTTTCCTCCATACACAGCTCCTCAGGGGACCCAGGATTTTGTCACGCTGGGAATGTCTGTGCTCTGTCTCTCTGACAGGCTAGCTTTCAGGAAAAAGACGCAAAATCCCATGAATCATAGCAGAAGCTGAATGCAGGCATCAACCCTTGGGTACTCTTGGGGTTTGGAGGTGGGGGAGCTGGGGGATTACCTGAATCCTTCCTTACAGTCAGTACACAGCTCTGGTTTGTCCACACACTTTTTACAACTTGGGTGGCAGTTAAGGCAGTTTTTCTGACCTGGAGGAAAACAGCAAGACAAAGAGGAAAGGTAGCACGGAGGGCATCAGATCTGTCATGGCCGGCCTGCGCCCGTCTCCAGAATGGACCAGGGAGGATGCCCAGCGCTGTGCTGGACAGGGTGTCACATCCCTTTACTGGCGCAAATCAAAGTGGCTTCACACATAGCCCCTTTCCAGAGCAGATACACCCTGGCTTTATTTACTAGGGATGAAAACCATTTCTGACTCTGGTTCCGTAGAGTTGAATTAGGTGCAGTGTGTGTGCATGTGTGTGTGTATGTGTGTGTGTGTGTGTGTGTGTGTGTATGTGTCTGTTTGTGTGTATGCACTTGTGCTGCCTTGAACTCAAGGCCTTAGCCTTGAGCCACTTGAGCCACAGCTCCATTTCTGGCTTTTTGTTGGTTCATGGGAGATAGAGTCTCACTGTCTTTCCTGCCTAGGCTGGCTTTGAACCTTGATCCTCAGATCTCAGCCTCCTGAGTAGTCAGGATTACAAGCGTGAGTCAGCCAGCTGGAGCCTGAACCATATTCTGTCTATGTTTCAAAGGATGTTGACTTTCAGTGTGGAGTCCTCAGTGGGTGAGATGCGTTGTGACACTAGCTAACACGCTGGTGCACCGACTCCCATGAATAATCCTGGCTCACAACACCGGAGGCCACAGGGGGGCAGGAAAACTCCCCCATTCGTGGGGGACACCAGTCCAGAGAAGGGGCGTGGGCTCCCCTACTTCCGTGCCCACAGACAGACCGGCCACTTACTCTCATCCACATAGAATCCAGCGGGACACTGGGTCACGCAGGTGTTGGTCTCCTGGTGGTAATAGAAGCCACGCCGACAGGACAGGCACTGAGTCTGGCTGCGGCCCGAGCACGTGTCACAGCCCCTGTGGCATCGGCGGCACCGTCGTGCTGCGGGGTCCCCAAAATAGCCCAAGGGACACTCGCTCACACACTTCCTGTGGGAAGAGGTGCATGTGAGCACCCCCTGCCCAGACCCAGCCCTAGGTGGGCTGAGGCTGAGCTGCTGGATGAAAGCCGTTTCTCCCAGGTTGGGCTGCCCTGTCTGACTCAGCCACAGTCAAGGACACAGGCCCTGGGGGGACACGGAAGCTGGACTGAGTGTCCTTTATCTTGCTGAGAATAGTTGAGAGATACAAAGGTGGAGATTGGATCCTAAGCCCTGAAGCCCAGTGTGGTGATGCAGGCCTGTATTCCCAGCACTTAGGAAACTGAGGCAGGATGATTGCAAGTTCAAGTTCAACCTGCAAGACACAGTAAGCCCCCTTGTCCCAGAAAGACAATGAAATAAAATAATAAAATAAATAAGCCAAGTGCCCATGGTTCATGCCTGTCATCCTAGCTATTCAGGGGGCTGAGATCTGAGGATCACAGTTCAAAGCCAGCCCAGACAGGAAAGTCCATGACACTGTAATCGCCAATGAACTATCAGAAAACTAGAAGTGGGACTGTGGATCAAAGTGATAGAGCACTAGCCTTGAGCTGCAAAGCTCGGAGTCAGCGCCCAGGCCCTGAGTTTAAGCCCTATGACCAACAAAAAATAAAAAGCAAATTAAAAAAATAAAAAATGGGAATCTTTTTCTTTCCACGTGGCCCTTGTGGGAGGTCCTGAGGCCGTGTTCTTCTTCATCTAGGCACCTTGACATTAGCACTGGACTTCTGGAACTAATGTGTGGAGCAAGGCTACCAGGATAGAATAAAGCTACAGTAGGTGAACACACTCTGTCCAGAGGCACTGCCCCCTGCTGGGCACTCACGAATGGGTGCCAGCAGCTTTGAGGTGCATCTATCACCCAGGCCTGTAGGAAGCCCAACAGCGTCCTGCCCAGCCGTCATCTTGAAGTCTGGGCTAGGCATGTGCAGCGTGTAGTCGATGCTCACATACATGACACAGGCAGCTGTGAGACTGGAGGGTGAGAGGTGGTGAGTCTGGAGCTGGAGGAGACAGCCTGGGGGTGGGGGTGGGACACCCAAGGACCCCCCCTCCCTGCAGAAGGGCTAGCCTGGGGGTGGGCCATTGCATGGGACCATAGTTTAGATTTGCCACAGGGTACAATCAAGCCCACGGGCTTTCTAGGGAGCTGCCAGACGATGCCACATCAGCTAAAGGTCTGAAGAGTCAAGTTTCCTAGCTGGCCCTCAATGAGGGGCCCTTGAATCACATGTGTGTACCGAACTCCCGTGAGCAGCTCGCACACTCGACTGGACCCATTTTTGTTTCACAAGTGAGTAGAGAAAGGTTTGGAATTATGGTCACAAAAGTGAATGCTTCTAGGAAGTGTAGCTGTGGCTGAAGTGGTAGAGCATCAGCTTTGAGTGAAAAACGCTAAGCAAGAATATGAGGCTCAAGCCCCAGGACTGGCGTGCACACACACACACAAACACATACACACACACACACACACACACACACACACACACACACACACACAAAATTGCCAGAGAAAATACTTCTAATTTCTCCACAATGGACAGGTATGGCTTGTGTGATTAGAACAAGAAGGCTCTTAATTTCTTCTTTTCCAGTACTGGGGCTTGACCTCAGGGCCTTGTGCTGTTGAATAGTTTGTTTGCTCATGTCTGATGTTCTACCACTTGAGCCAGGTCTCCAGTCCAGCTTTTTGCTGCTTAGTTAAGAGATGGAGCTTCACAGACTTTTCTGCGCAGGCTGGCTTTTGAAACATTAGTCCTCCAGGTCTCAGCCTCCTGAGTAGCTAGGATTACAGAAATGAGCCACTGGTACCATGCCCCTCCCCCTCCTCCAGAAAAAAATCTTCATTCTCTATTGGAATATTACACAATTGAAAGCAGGCTAAGTGCTCTCCTCCAAGAAGGGAGGGCAGCCGCCTCAGCCCATTACCTGCCAGTCTTGGAGTTCCCCAGGCTGAAGTGGACACAGTTCAAGCACTGGTCAGCATTGGGACCATCGCAGCCTTTGGTACCACATTCCGGATGGCACTCACCTTAAAGAAAGAAGCATTAGTTGGGTGCCGTGGCTCACACCTGTAGTCCTAGCTACTCAGAGGATTGCAGTTCGAAGCCAGCTCAGGCAGGGAAGTCTGTGAGCCTCTTTTATCTCCAATGAATCACCAGAAAGCCAGAAGCAAAGCTGTGGCTCAAGTTAGGTAGAATGCCAGTCTTGAGTGAAAAAGGTAAGGGACAGCACCCAAGTCCTGAGTTCAAGCCCCAGTACACACACACACACACACACACACACACACACACACACACACAGCATTTCTTTTTAAGCAGAGACATTTTTCTCCATTAGATGCAGTCCCCCAGGGTCCCTGTGTCAAGATACCACAGCAGGAGGTGGGGGGAGCCTCTCTCAAGCATGGTAGCCATGCAAGCATGATGGTCGTGTGAGCCAAAGGATCACTTCTGCAGGAGGTGGTCACAGAATGGAGCTGCGTCTAGCTGGGTGTCAGGGTCAGAGGGCCTGATACCAGAAGGGAACAGCACGTGTAACAGCCAGCAGTGGGTGGGTTTGGGGAGAGGAGGTGGACGTTGTGAAATGCTGGGGTGGGGGAGGATGACATACGGAATCTGTTCACATAATCACAGCTGTTATGCTGGGCTTCATCAGCCACCTATTTCCATGGCACAGGATAAAGAAGTGAGATGTGGGGGTGCTTTGAGGACCAGTGACACAGCATGGATTTGGGGGAGAGGGCCTCCCCACAAGCCTTGCTGAGAATGAGGACAGATGTCTGCGTGTCCAGGGCCAACAGGCCCGTCTGGGGACAGGCAGGTCTGGGGTGGGTGAGGGGCAGAGTCTGAGAGCTCTGTACTGGGGTGCTCAGGAGCTGGGCTCATTTCTAGGCACATCTTTCTTGGCTGCTCTCACTCTAGCCTTCAGTGACGATCCACAAATGTGTTCTCAGTTGGAGAACTGCAGAACTATCTCCCTTCTAGAACCTTCCCTCGTTGTCTTAAATTGACCAGGCTGAGGGCGATGGGCCCACGGAACCTCCTGGGGCAGCTAAAGATGGCGCAGGGAAGGGAGGGTCCAAGTGGGGCTTTGGAAGGCTTTCTTTGGGGGTGGGGGCCGGGTTGTTGTTGGAAGGGTGGGGAGTGAACTGGGAAGCCAGGAAGAGGCCATGTGCATTTCGTGGGGCCCTGGAGGGAAGGACAGAAGTCATCCTTTCTCCGCTGTCCACAGAGGGTCTCTGCAGGAGCACAAGGCCTGCTTCATCATCCTGCGAGAGACTCCAGGTAGACTCCAGGCCTTGCTGAGGGTAGCTGGGGTGTAGGGGTTGCCATTTCCCAGCAAGCACTGCAGTCCTGCGGGCCAGGTTCTGTCCCATTGTGAGACTGTGCAGAGGTGCTGGCCGCCTCCTGCTCACCGCCGGCCGGGCCCCTGTTCTACACATGGAGCACCCTTGCCCCTCTGCAGGGTTGCTAGTCCTCACCTGACTGAACTCATGCCCCGCTCACCCCATGTCTATCACGGGCAAACCTCAGGACTTTGCGCTCTGCCACGCCATTGGCCTTAATTGCCCAGGGAGCTGCAAACACATGGGCCTGGCCATGGGCCTCCTGTGTGCCCACCAGGGGCAGCGGGCTCTAGTCTGTCTTCCTTCCGCACCATATCCATGATAAAGAGTCCCATCTTAAGGGGATTGGGGGTATTGGGTGCATGGGGGTGAAGGATACACTAACCTCTTCAAACTCCCTTGGCACAGTGGATGACAGCTCCCCTTCCTCCCAGACAGGATGTGGGCTAGCCTGGTCACCACCCTCCTTCCCCACCCCCCAACCAGTCAGAACATGGTCTAGCCTAGTCACTGGACATTGCTAAAACCCATAACACCATTGGCACAGGGGGGCAGGATGACATGTGAGAACACAAGTGAAAGGAGTATGGAGGAGATCGGGAAAGCACAGACATCCTCATGCACTGCGGATAGAATGTTCTAGAATGTTCCAGGACAGGGACAGCCTCAGGGAGGGGCCTAGACTGGTGCTTTCCCATGCTGTCCCTGGAATGTTGATGTCACCCCCCCCATCCCCTGCCATACCCTCTCCCCATGAGGCCTCTCTGCTGGGGAAAAATTTACTCCAACAATGTGGAGGGCCCCCCCCCCTTGCAAGCTGGAGCCCAGGCAATAATACCAAGGGCAGGGTATTAAGGTCCTGGGCAGCCCCCGACCCACCCACCCCAGCTGGAGAAGTCAAGATTAAACAGTGCCCATCCAAGAGCTGGGGTCTACATAAGCATCCATAAACAAACCCACCAGCATGGCGCTCTCTATGCTCTTTGAAAATATCCAGACTCATCTCTCCCATGAAATGCTCTGAATTAAAGCCACCTGGCTGGCAAGCCTGGTTCCAGGCACTCCTGCCCTCCCAGGAATGTTCTGGTACAGCTGTAACTCATTCTCTGGGTGAGCATGTGGTGTTTCTGTTACAATTTGTACTTAGGTCTGCTTTTCTTTACTTGATTAGCATAAAAATTCCTCCGAGACCTCTCTACCCCGTGCACTGGGCCATTCCCCAGAACGGAGTGGAATCTGCTGGTGAAAGGGGGCTCAGTTAAGGAGTTGGCTAAACAGTTAGGGGCTGGCTAAACAGCTGCCCCCACTTCTATGGAGCTAACTGTCACAGACTAACTTGTGAAACCTACCTCAATGTGTGTGTGTGTGTGTGTGTGTAGAAAAACATTCTAGCTTGGTGTCGGTGGCTCACCACCTATCATCCTAGCTACTCAGGAGACTGAGAATCGAGATTCTATGCCAACCTAGGCAGACAAATCTTTGAGACCCTTCTCCCCAAATTTCACCAGCAAAAGCCCACTTGTGTAGCATCTGTGGGATGTTGTCCGAGGTGATTGGACTGGAAAGGTTTGGGCCTAATCAGTGACTTCATCCACTGATGGATTCAGAATTGATTACTGGAAGGTGGTGGAATAATGAAAGGTAGGCTGGAGGGAGTGTGTCATGAGGGTGTGCTCTGGAAAAAAAAATCTACCGTGCGCCCTGCCTCTTCCCATCTCTCTTCCTGGCTGCCATGAGGTAAGGAACTCAGACCGGCTGCAGCTTCTCCGCCATGGTGCTGTGTCTCACCACAGGCTGGCAGCTATGGCAGCAAGCAGCCAAGGACTGAAACCTCAGAAACCGTGTGCTAAAACAAGACTTTCCTTCTTTAGATGTTCTCAAGGTCATTATGGGTGCTGCCCTTGGAAAGCACGAGAGCTCACTCATGGAACTGAGGTCTTCTTTCTTTTTCTCGCAAGAATAAATTGTCCTAAAGTCGAGCTACCCTCCTGTACTCAGCCAGTTCTATCTCTGTTTCTCCACCATCCTGTCATCTGAGAAGCCTGGGGATTCCTCTCTCCCTCCCACATGCAGGACAGATGGGCCCTCTGGATCTTATATTTCCAGCCTGCTAAACTGAGAATTAAATAGACTTTTTTAAATGTATAAGCACCTAGCTTTGGACATTTTGTTATAGAAACAGGAAGTGGGCTAATGCTAACCCTGCCCTTTGGAGTCCTGTTTTTCCACAGTAGACTGAAGTTTCTGCTGCTCACGGGTGATTCCTCCTACCACAACCGTTCCATCCAGGCCGTGCTGGGGGTGGGGCCAAGCGATTCTGCCATCAGAACGGCCTGAGAATGTGCAAGACCACCATCAGTAGTAGATTTTAAGAGGGGGAAAAAATCAGTTGTTGATTAATAATTGCCGAGTCTTGCCACAGATTATAAATCACAGGGGGAAAAGTGGAGCAGATCAGTCCACACATAATTCAATGTTTCATTTTAAAGGAACGGTAAAAAGGAATTTAAAGTGGAATCAACCCATAATTTGTACTTGATTGATATTGGTGAGATTTTTTTTCCCCCCAGAAGGTATTGGTTAATTCAAAGCATCCAGATTCCTAAGATATCACCCATCATTCATCAGCTAGTGCCAAAATTTGCTAAAAAGAATATGCCCAACCAGAAACACCCAATGTCTTGCAAATGGCTGGGGGACAGCTTAGAGACAGAGATTGTGACCTAGTGTGACCCCCAATGCTGGCTGTGGGCTACAGGTGTCCAATGTCCTCTGTCCGCTGCTGTGGCTCCTGACTGCCTTGCCACAAGCTAGTGGTCCAGAGCCAGGGGCCACCAAGGCACCAAGACAGCAGGAGACAATGGATCTTCATGGGTGTCTTTATACTGTTTCTTGCTGGGGCTTGAACTCACGTCCTTGAGCTTCTTAGGCAGTTGCTACTTGAGCTATGTCTCTAATCCATTTTTTTTTTTTGGCTGATAGGGTCTCATGCTTTTACCCAAACTAGCCTTCGATTACAATCTTCCTACGTAGATTACAGGTGTGAGTCACAGAGCCCAGAGCACAGAGGTTTTTGAGATGTTCTGGTTTACTATCAGTCTCTGCTGATATCCTCTCTTAACATTCTCCTTTAGGTCTTTAATCCCAGCATTCAAGGCTGAACATCTTCCTCTACCACTAAACCCCTTTCCTGGCCATATGAGAGACCCCCCCCCCCGCAACCTTCCCAGGTCCTGGATAGCAGTTGCATTCTTCCGCATGGGGACCACTGAGAGGGGCTGGCATGGAGTGAGTCACGAAGCTAAGCAGTATGATTTAGGCAGTTAATGAACCAGGGACAAATGCCAGTTCTGGTTGGGCATAGAGAAGCTCAATCATCCCAGCATGGGAGGGTCAGAAAGTACTTACTGGTTTGAAGTATACTTACTGGTTTGTAAAATATTAGGAGAGCCTTGGTTGTGAGGAGCTGTGTGAGTGCAAATTACCATCATTATTAGAATTTCTGGGCAAGAGAGGACACATCACCATCCTCACCCCCGTCTTTCGCCAGGAACAGCCCCACCTTGGAGAGCAACGGTGGAAAAGCAAGGTCCAGAGGTGAACCGTTGACTCTGGCTACGGGCTCTTTACCTATGTAATCTTCCTCATCCTCGGGCAGCTCAGCCTGGATGGATGGGCCAGCGGCCATGGGGGGCGCCGTCTCCACGGCTGAGAGCTCTAGCATCCGGGAGCGGGACTGGTGGGAGCTGAAGGTGCGGTGGGGGTGCTCGGCCGTGCCGTACAGGATGAGGCTCCACTCCTTCAGCTTTCCTGGAAGGCCGGAAAGCCACAGTCACGCAGGGCAGCTCTTGGTGTCCCTGCAGGCTCTGGGGCCTATGCAAAGGTTTCCATCTTGAGGGAAGCCGGGCTCAGAGAAACAAGACAGCGCATGTTTTCTCCCATACGTGGAAGTTAGATCTAAAATTCACTGGGACATGATACATGACACAGGTGTGTAGACATTCATACACAGTGAGGCCAAAGGAGAAGAACACAAAGGCGCTAGGCCTATGCACCTCCGATCACACAAAACAGTATTTATCAAAATGCACCCGGTGCCAGTGGCTCGCTCCTGTCATCCTAGCTACTCAGGAGGCTGAGATCTGAGGATTGTGGTTCAAAGCCATCCCCGGTAGGAAGGTCCGTGAGACACTTATCTCCAATGAACCACCAGAAAACCAGAAGTGGTGCTGTGGCTCAAGTGGTAAAGCGCTAGCCTTGAGTTGAAGAGCTGAGGGACAGCGCCCAGGCCCAGAGTTCAAGCCTCACAATCGACCAAAAAATTGATCAAAATGAACTCCAGGAAATGGAAACAAGACGTTTTTTTTCTTTGTTCTAATTTTTGTTTTCTGTTCCTCTTGTTTACCTGTCTTTGGGAGGGTAGTGGAGGCACAGAAATGGAGAGACAACTACTCAAGAGGCTGAGATCTGAGGATCACGGTTCAAAGCCAGCCTGGGGCAGAAAAGTCCATGAGACTCTTATCTCCAATAAATCACTCAGAAAACCAGAAGTGGTGCTGTGGCTCAAGAGGTAGAGCGCTTGCCTTGAGCTGAAGAGCTGAGAGACAGCGCCCAGGCCCAGAGTTCAAGCCAGGCCCAGAGTTCAAGCCCCACGACCGACCAAAAAGAAAAAAAAAAAAGAAATGGAGAGACAAAGGATGAAAAAGGCAACAGTGGCTTCTATGTGGAAAATGAACCTTACAACTTGTGAGTGGGGATGAAAGGGAAAAACTGGGCGAGAGCAAGGGAAGGGATGACACTGTCCAAAAAGAAATGTCCTGTCTACCTGTGTCGGGTCACTGTAACCCCTCTATATACCAATATGCCACCTTTATAAGAATAAAAAAAATTAAAGGTTCCCAGCTGTCACTCAGGCTGTGGCCTGCCTCCCTCTTCTGGGGGGGGGCAGCATACTTCTCTCCCTACTGGGGGATGGGAGGGGTCCCGCTGCATGGGACACTTTGCTGTCTGGAGGTGTCCTTGCACCCCCAGGCACCCTGCACCCTCCCTTGGTGGTGCATCTCCCCTTGGGATTCCCAATGGGCGCCAGGCCTGTCCTGTGGCCTCCCCCGGGGCATGATGGGACCCTTGAGAGGTGAGGCGCTATGGTCTGGATCCTGGATCTAGCAGTGCAGGAAGCCTCGGCTATGGCTTTGCCCTCCCAAGCCAGCCAGGGTGAGAAGAGGGCTGGGGAGGGGGTGCTGAATGGCTGCCCTGGCACAGATTCGAATATGCAGAGGCTGAGGGCACGAAGCATGTGAGAGCGTGGCACAGACAGGGCTTTGGCAGAGGGGAGAGGAGGTGCAGGCAGCGGCTGCTGGCAGCTGATGATGGGAGGTCCTGCTCTGCCCACGGCCACCAGTGTGGCTGAGTGTCGAGGTCTGAAGAGAGCCAGGAAGCCTGTTTTATTGTTTTTAAATTTTTGCTTTTGTTTGTACCCGTTCTGGGGCCTGAACTTAGGCCCTGGGTGCTGTCCCTTAACTTTTTCACTCAAGGCTAGTGCTCTATCACTTGAGCCACGGCTCCATTCTGGTCTTCTGGTATTTAAGTAGAGATAAGAATCTCATGGACTTTCCTGCCCAGGCTGGCTTTGAACCAGGATCCTCAGCTCTCAGCCTCCTGAGAAGCTAGGATTACAGGTGTGAGCCACCAGTGCCAGGCTTCTCAGGATTTACAAAAATATGTATTTTTGGCAAGGGGAAGGAAGAAATGTTCACTATCTGGACACATCCGTTTCCTTAACCAATCCATCTTAGAGCATGGTCTCTAAGAACGTATGATACTGTCTTTTATCTTCTGAAAATACACATTTGCCATGAACATTCTTTGCTATAGTCGCCCGTAGTCCTTTCTCCAGATAGAGCCCCATGTGGAACACCTGGGTCGGAGACCAAGACGCAGTGAAGGCTTGTAGCATGTCAGGTCAAATACCACCGGAGGCTCATTCCTACACCATTGGGCCGGCTCCCTCCGCCCCTGGCCCCTCCCAGAGCCACACTCTGTTTGGGGAGGAGACAGGAGAAGTGTGGAAGTAGAGAGACCAAAGAAGAAAAGGCCAGTCACTTGCAGGGCTATTGCAGACCCAGCCAGGGTCCATGGGGATGGGGTGAGGTGGGGCGGGCTGCACACAACTGCCACCTAGAGGCTGTGGACTAGAATGCTAGGCCTGCCCCAGACAAGGCATTTAACAAGAATGCAAATACTGGGCAGGCTTGCTCTAGTTTACTGTGCCCAAAACCTGCCAACACATAAAGGAAATGCAAATCAAAGCAACTCTGCGATGATGATTACCATCAAGAATTCAAACAACAGCCAGGTGCCAGTGGCTCACACCTGTAATCCTAGCTACTCAGGAGGCTGAGATCTGAGGATCATGGTTCAAAGCAAGCCCAGGCAGTAAAGTCCATGAGACTCTTAGCTCCAATAAACCAATAGAAAACCAGAAGTGGTGCTGTGGCTCAAGCAGTAGAGTGCTCGCCTTGAGCTGAAGAGCGTAAGGACAGTGCCCAGGCCCAGAGTTCAAGCCCCATGACAACAACAATACCAACAACAACAAGAATTCAAACAACAACAAAAGCTGGAGGGGATGTGGGACAAAAAGGAACCCTATTGCACTGTTGGTGGAAATGGACAGCCATCTGGAGGTTCCTCAACAAACCAAACCTAGATCTTCCCTATGATCCAGCCATACTACTTCTGGGCGTCTACCCAGAACATCACAAGCCAGGATACCAAAAAGACATTTGCACATCCGTGTTCAATGCTACACTATTCACAACAGCCAAGTTATAGACACAGCCCAGATACTCAATAACAGATGAGTGAATTCATAAAATATGATATTTGTACACAGAGGATTTTTACTCAGCCATTAGAATGAGATTATGTCATTTTTCAGAGAAATGGATGGAGCTAGAACAAATCATGCTAAGTGAGGTAAGCCAAGCTCAGAGAGACAAACAGCGCGTGTACCCGTTCAGAGGTGGAAACTAGATCTAAAATATAATGACATGATCATGTATAGGGGATTCTAAGCATGCACTCACACACACACACACACACACACACACACATACACACACACACACACACACACACACACGGTCAGACTAAACGAGGACTTCCTTAGGGAAGGAACACAAAGATGTAACTCCTCTGAATGTGCAAAGCACTATTTAGTGTAACAAACTCCAGGAATTGGAAACATGGGTCTGTTGGTGATGGTGGTGGTGGTGGTGTTTGTATTTGCTTTGGTGCTCTTTTCTTCTGGGAGGATTAACAGGGTGGAGGGGTAGAGAAAGGGAGGAATCGTGCTATATGGAAAAGGAACTATGTAACTTGTGGGCAGGGTTGGGAGGGAGAAACTGAGGAAAGCAAAGGAAGGGATGACATTGTCCAAAAAAGTAATGCAGCCGGGTGCCCGGTGGCTCACGCCTGTCATCCTAGCTACTCACAAGGCTGAGATCTACGGATCACAGTTTGAAGCCGGACCGGACAGGAAACTCCACGAGACTCTTATCTCCAACAAACTACTCAAGACAAAACAAAAGTGGCTCTGTGGCTCAATCGTGCTAGCCTTGAGCTAAAGAAGCTCAGGGACAGTGCCCAGGCCCAGAGTTCAAGCCCCAGGACTGGAAAAAACAATAAATGCACTTATTATCTGACTTATGAAATAGTAGCACTCTGTACAACACATACAATAAAATTATTGCCCAAAACCCCTCCCCCAAAAAACAAAAAAACAAACCTGCTGACACTGGGAATTGGTCTTCAGGAGGGGATTTTTCTTGTGTGTATGTGTGTGTATGTGTGTGTGTGTGTGTGTTGTATGTACACATACACAGGTGTACACATGTCATTACTGGGACTTGAACTCAGGACCTCTTGTTCTCATTTGACATTTTTGCTCAAAGCTGGCATTCTACCATGTAAACCACAGCTCCACTTTGGCTTTTTGCTAGTTCATTGGAGATAAAGAATCTCACAGATTTTCCTGCCCGGGCTGGCTCTGAACTGCCATCTTCAGATCTGAGCTTCCTGAGTAGCCTGGATTACAGGCGTGAGCCACCAGCACCCAGCCAGGAAGCGTTCTTAAAAAGCCAAGTTCTTTGGCTCTTTCACCTTCAGATTCCTGAAAAGGAAGAAATAAGTGCAAATCCACCTGCTCAATCAAGGCCAGTGCTGGCAGTGCCCGCCGAAGTCCACACGGGGCCTGGTGAGGCTGCGGGAAGGCTGGGGCTAATTTGTGCCAGCCCGAGCTGTCTGAGCTCATTTCCTACAGAGCAGGCAGGATCACACCTGTCAATCAAAAGGACCCAGAATCAGGGGGAGACTAAGGCTAAAGTGCCAATGGAAATGCATTAGGGGAAATGCACTTTTCTCTAGCCGGTATGTTGTATGAAGCATTAAAAACCCTCCAGGGAGAAACTGAAATGTTGGAGACAAAGCAGAGAGGGGTGAGGGAAAGGTTTCGTTGGATTAAAAACTGCAAGCTAATACTTTGAATTCCTAGGTGCTTGCTGCCACCCTAGAAGATATTCTGAACAATTAAGAATGATCAGGCCTAAGCTGGGCGCCAATGGCTCACGCCTGTAATCCTAGCTACTCAGGAGGCTGAGATCGGAGGATCGTGGTTCAAAGCTAGTCAGGGCAGGTAAGTCTGTGAAACTATTTTTTCTTTTTTGGGTCCCGTTGTGGGGCCTAAACTCTGGGCCTGGGTGCTGTCCCTCAGCTCTTCAGCTCAAGGCTAGCACTCTACCACTTGAGCCACA